CTGGAAAGACATTCTGAAAAGCACTGCCGGCTATTTAAACGTCTTTGAAGCCGTCTAAGCATAATTCGGTCAAGCATCCTACTCAAACATTATTTATTTACATAACTCTTTTCTCTACGACCTTCTACTTCTCAGTATACATCCTAAAACAAAGTTACGTTTACGAGCGACGTTTATCGGCGGCTTCATTCAGTATAATACTTTAAAAAAATATTTTAATATTTGGCAATGTACAATGAAAATCAAAATCTACCCTCAAATGTCCCACTTTCTACACCAGGACTATGGTTTTAGAAAAAATAAGCTAAACCACAGAAATTTACAAAAAAATCTCAATTGTGGCTTCAGTGGAAAACTGAGAAATGTAAACCTTTTTATAGTGTAATTAAAAAATGCTTCATAATTTTTCAAACAACGTTTTCCTACAAATGAATCCCCGCTTCTGTTGCATTACCTGAAATTCTACGTGACGTTCAAGGAATAATATAACCTTTCTTGAAAACCTTTAAAAATTCTGATCATTCTGTTACACCAAATTGTCCTTCCTATCCCCAAATAAAAAAAACTTGATGAACACTGATAAACTTAAAAGTAATCAACACTCTCAAAAAACTGCTCCTCTAATTATGTGTTGGTTCATGAAAAAAGCTCGCCGTATGAAATAATCCTGGAGGAAACGCCTTACATGAACAATCTTTCTATTGTTCGTTACTGGAAGCCCAGAAGTGTAAGTAACACTGTGTCATCAACCGCAAAACTACAGAACTCATTCCAGAGTTCACTAGGAAGTACAGTATTGTTAAATACTTATGAAGCCCTTTTAAATCATAAAATTCGCTCAAGGTTCAAAATTAGGTTAAAAGTTATAGACATTGAAGTTCTCAAAATCTGAAAGTTCGTCCTGAATTCTCCAAGCAATCGGTAACTAATCTCTGAACAGTACGTGACAAAAAAAATGATGCTTGTTTCTGGAATTCTAGCCAGCTTCTTAGCCCTAAGAAATTCAGTGCGAGCCTCTGTAACGTGGATAACAGATTGCCGGCTGGTCATAGCTATCCATATGACCGCGTACATGATACCGCGATAATGTTTCCAGATGAATACGCTACAAAAAGGTAAAAGTACTTTCAATGACAAACCGAATAAAAATCTTCAAAGAATAAAGGGCAATAAAAAAAATAAATAAAGAAATAACAATGACTAACATCAACTCCTAATTGTTGCCTTAAAGATAAAAACTCGCTCTGTTCTGTCAAATCTTGAACATCGTGCAGATCAATTGCCTCGCTCCAAAGTGAACATATTGTCGGATCCCTGCTCGATATATCTGAGAAAAAAGCTTTGGAAAACAAAGTGAAGTTGAAATTAAAAATTAAACTCCCAATTGTTTCAGAAAATCTTAAAAACTGACTTGAGTACGCTGAAACTGTACGGTCACCCTTCGGTTCATCTCGAGCAGACAACTGATCAGCTCTAAAAACCAACAAACTTCATAAGTGCTTTGAGTGAAATTCTGAGCCTAACTGAAAGTGATTACCACAAAAACCTACATTTTTTTTATTTCACTAAGGAAATGACTAAAAAAATAATCCCATCTCCTATTTTTTTCTAACATAAAATTACAGAAATGCATCAAAATATATAAACTATGAAATTAACCCAAATAATATCCTGATAAAAAAAAGTCAAAAACAACCTAAAAACTTGCAGAAAACAACTCTCATAAAACATCAGTGAAAATGTTCAGCTTCAAGCAAAACTTCTTCTATAAAAATAAATTTCAGAATATGACTGCTAATTTGTCATCGTAATGAGCAAATTGAGACCTCTTATACAATTTCGAAAGTCATCTTAACAATTTCAGCAGAGGTAAATTTACCGAGAATAAAAAAACCAATGTCAAGATAGATATAACTACAAGTAAAAGCTATTTTTTCTAGCCTTGCTGTTGTCCTGAGAACCATAAGTATTATTGCATTGCTTACTCTAACAGTAAAAAAATATTCTCGGAATAATTATATAGAAACTTGGAAATTTTATCGGCGCTCATATGTTTAATATCCTTGTTTTACTATTATTATGATTTGGAAAATTATATTTCAAAACAAAAAAAATTTTCAGAAACAGTAAAGTGGAGAAAACAGTGATCAACTTCATTTCCACAAAAATGTCCTGGCTTTCCGGTGCGGAACAGCATTTTTGAAAAAATTATTTCCATTACCAATAATGACTCTACCTAACAAAAGAAAATAAAAGCATTCATATCAAAGAAAATAAATTTTCAAGAATTCAAATAACACTTCATCTTATTTTTGTTTAAGCCAGAATGATCCGCTAAAGAAATACCCAACTCAATAATTATTTGGAGAAAATGATTTTGATACTTTCATTTCATAAGAAACTTTTTACCTACTATCCTCACTACTCAGCTCAAAATAATAAAGAAAGGTAAAAATGGAGACAAAAATTGAAGCAAACAAAGCAAATTCCCCAACAGAACAGAAGGTACTATAGTTCAAATTTCAGAATCAAATGATATGCAACTGTCCAACAAGTACTCGGAGATGAGTCCAACCGGACTGTAAAGATTGCAAAAAAGAAATGACTGAAAGAAGACATAAAAAAAGCAAATTAAAGAAGGCCAAGAACAAACCTAAAGACGTACAATTATTAGAATGCACTTTAATTACCAGAATGAATATCAAGAATCTCGAAGGCTTACGATGGAACCTCAACCTCCATATAAGCTTCATCCTCACTGCTTTCTGTTGGTGGAGCAACCAAAAATTCATCGTCATAAAAACTGACTTCACGTTTAGTGCGCCGATTACCCACTCCGTGAAACGACCGAGATCTCGTTTTACGGATCCCAGAAACCATCTGCTTCGCGCTCTCTTCCGCTTCTAATACTTTCAGACGATTAACCAAGTAAGTCAGAGCGTCAAAGACATAATAACAAAGTAGTAAAAACAATGTTCAATGTGCTAATAAACTATTGGAAAAGAGGTCATAAATGAATATAAAATTGGCAAAAGAGCAAAGAGAATTTCTAAATCATAAAAACAACTTGACCAAACTCTTTATCAGTCGCAAATATATACCTGCAGGAATAAAGACGTAAAAATGGTAATTCGCCATCAAAGTCACTCTCTAGTAAACATCCAAACGAAAGTTTGAATCAATACTCAATGAGGCAATTTCCTTCCTTTAAAGAAAATCATAAAGAGAACGCTGTTCACCGGAACCTAATTTTTAAAAATGAATGAAAGAGTCCTTTTTCTCAGAAACAATACATGGTATAAGACGCTGACAATACGCTAATGCAAAATATAAATCAAAAATTTTGAACTAAACAAATCTTCCATATGCAAAGGAAGCTTAAAGCGGAAAATGAAAAGAAAAATAAAGAACCGAGTAAGGCGTTGAATAAATTGAAAAATAACAAAAAAATTTCAACTATGAATCACAACGGAGATTCCAGCAACTGAAAGTACTGTAAGAATGAGAACTGCGAAGAGTACTAAAAAGAGTATTCAAAAATTTATGGCAAAAATCCTGACTAAAAGCTAAACATATCTACTTAGAAAACTTGAGCAGTGGTTCTCGCCCTCATCAATATCCTATGAATGACTGACTACCAATAAACGAATCAGTAAGAAAACTGTAATAATCGATGGCCGCAGCAAATCTTGCGCTTTCAAAATAACAGATAAATAAATTTAAATCTCCAAATTTGAACTGCAAGCAATAGCTGCAACTGCTGCACAAACCGCAGATTATACACTAAAAGAAAGTTGGTTGCGCGTAAATTGAACCAGTTCAAAATCAATTTTCACGCGAATCTGAAAGCAGGGAAGGCAAAAGCAAAAAATAATTAAGATGTAAGGAGTTTCCACAATAGTTATCCATTCCCTCAATGCCATGTTCCACTATCTTAACCAAAAAACTTTATATTGCATAAGTGAACTAATAAATGTCAAAAATATGATTTACAGCAAACCTTTTACAAAGAGGAATTTTTATGAATTAACAAACAAGAGTTACTAACCACTTGAAAAGAAGGAAAAATTCCAGAAACGCCTCTTATAAAATAAAGCTAAGCTACCAGTCGAATTATTTGAAGTCCCGCTGTGTAAAGGAAAGTGTCTAGAGACAACTTCTGAGAAAACAGTTGTGAATGGCAGAAAAAGCCCCCAAACGAAGCGAAGAAAGAAATAAAGGAATAACCAAAATATCTTACTCTTCTCTTAAACGCCGGTAGTTTTCTAACTCATCCAACTTTCGTTTACGTTCCTTCTCTTCATACTGCGACATCAAATTCAGATAACTTACACGATCATAAATATCAGAATCTAACTAAAAAACATTACTCCTGGTTGAAAATAGACTAAAACGAGTGCGCCAACGAGATCTTGTAAAAATAAACCTCATCAAGTGATAATCCTTTAGTCGCTATATCCATATCATTTGTTCTGCCTCGAGAATCCATCTTTCTTCTAAATTTCCACTTCTTTACAAGGTAATCGTACCGAACGACCGAATCTTTTATACTTGTTGGACGAGGTAAAGCAGGTAAATTTAAATTAAGGGCTCTCTCCTGGAAAAAAGTAGACTGTTATTCCAAACAGCAATAAGATGTGTAAATCAGAATTAAAAGACGGTGAAATTGGTATTTAATTACTTTTCCAAAATAACCATGAAAATGTTTTGGTACAACTGCAAAAAACATACATAGCGATAACTTCTAAGCAATAGTGTAAAGTCACAAAAAATGGGATAAATTCGTTGAACTTTCGAGTCTAAGATTCTATACAAGTTTTTACTGTTAAAAGTCAAGTAACTCGTCTTCTTTTAAATGATATTTGCTATAGAATCCACAAAAATACTTAAAATTTAAGATCAAAAATTTGAAATTAAATCTTACTAGAAGAGAAAAGAAGATAAAAAATAAAGCAAAGAAACTTAAGAAAGACGGTACCCGCATACATCAACAATAAAATATGAAACACATCGCAGCCTGCTTTATAAGTAAATAAAGGATAAAAAATTTCCAAACATAAATACCGGAATTATCGGCGTGAAATCGGAAATCATTATTTTAAAATTCGCTTTTCAAAAAAATCGAATATAGGTAATTACAGCAAAACCGAGACTGATTAACCGCATGAATGATTTTTGAACCTAACAAAAGTTTGGAATTACTTAAATACCTTGCAAAGGTTTAAGTAATTGTTGTAAACCTAAAAGATGGAAATAGACCTACAAGAACCAACAATAAAATGCTTTTTTTAGAGCATATGTAGATTTTGACATACTCCTTTCAAAGATCGTTGAATTCCTCAATTTTAAAGCCAGGAAAGGAGCGGGAAATAGAATATGTTTTGAAAAGGAAACTTAGAATGTTACAACCATGGCATCTCAAGTGGATATTTAATGAGCCAAATGCAGTTTGTTATGACAACCTTGTACTCACTGATAGTGCTAGTATGACCACAACTGGTACAACAGAAATTTCCAGTCACTTGCGATATAAAACCAACGTTACTGCCGCAATTGATACATCTGACTCGGATGAGACCACTATATGGCTATAACTACGCAAAAATAAAAAAAATTTTTTCATACATATTGACTATCATTATTTACCTATGAACGTAATATTGGAAACTTACGGTCAACTCAAACCGTATTCCAAGGTTGCATAACATGTCCATGATTTCGGTTCTAGACAAACGCGTAGAAGGAGAGGGCTCTGGTGGGGATGAAAAAATCTAAAAATGCAGATATGTAAATCAAAAAATGTTACATATAATGATTTGCTGTAAATTAGCATATATATGATTTATCGTTGCTGAATTCAATATTGGAGACAAAACTATAAACGACACACATATTTTGTAGTCTGCACACGACATCTTTGAAAAAATGATATTTAATTATCAAGCATTATCACTTATAACAGTTATTTTATAAGAATTTTTCGCATAAAATGTGAAAAAATGAGCTTCAAAATTACCTGTTCAGAACGACCTTCAGCAACTTCATTATCGGAGGCGTCTTTCCTACAACTGTCATTTAATTTATCCGCAAAAGCCTTCTTCAAGTCGCTGACCAGGGCATCTAAGGAAGCGGAAGCTGCAGTGTCCGAAGAGAATGAATGCTAAATCATGGAT